ACTATACGGGTTCTAGTCACACCGCGTGGATTGCACCACAAAGATTGCAGCGCATAGATTGCGCCGCGGCGCTGCGCAACGAAGCTCGAACAACAAACATTCAACCGCATAGAGCGCACCAAATGTAGTATCCGTTCGTTCTTTCCCAAGAAAAACGAATTCTACCACCCTCCCCCTCTGGAGCTAAAGACCCCCATTTCGCGCATGACTAAACCCCAATGTCCATCCGATCTGCGAATTCAAATTATCCCAACCAAACCGGCACCGCCCCCCACCCGCCATCCTGTGCCAAAAAAATGCGCGCACACTCGTTTATCAAAACTCATAAGTTTTCAATAACCCCTTGCAACAAATTGCACGAAGTGCACACGCGCGCGTCGTCGCGCGCGCACGCCGCAATCTTTCACAAATCATTGGTTCCGGGAGGCTTTCAAAATCGAGCGCCCAAAAACATGTAAAAACATAGTTTGTCGCAACACGGCTGCTTTTGCGAATTCTTCAGAAAACGAAAAAGGGCTTGCACATGTTGAGACAATGCAACCAAACGGGCTTCGCGCGCGCGCATGTCGAAATCGTTCGAACGCCTTTGCGCGCGTCTGGGGAGGGGGGGGCATGATTCGGGTTAAAGAATACCATGCGGCCGAATCTCGCGCGTCTGCCCAGCACTGGCTGCCCCATCGTCGCTGTCAGCATCGCCACCAGCATCCTTACTATCATCTTCGCGTCTGCCGTTGTCGACATGGCCATGATACCGCGCCCGCCCAAGTCGCCGACTCGCACAGAAGTGCCCGCTGGGATGTGCCGAGCGGTCAGCGCCACCGCGCTCGCGTCGGTTGCGCCGGACTAGCTGGCCGCTGCGCGCGCGAGCATGCGCGGGCCAGCGCGGCCGCAGATATGCACCAGCCAACAACAAGACCTCATGGCAATCGCAGCCGCATGGGTTTTGCAAACCAAGTTGCACGTGGGCGGGTGGGATGTTTGCGCGAGCAGTGGAGTGGGCAACTCACTGCGAACAGGAACTACTTGCACAACATACATTTCACTACAACGATTCTGCTCTCAAGAAATGTTCTACCACCCCACCCCACCCGGACTCAACGATTCCCCTTTCGCATTGCAATTTACATTGGGTTCTGCCCCATCGTTCCTCTCAAACATGAGTTTCACTATCCGAGGGGGGGGCCAGTATCGCCCCCCCCGCCATCCTCTGCAACACATACTATGCGCGCGCACTCGTCTATCAAAAATCAGAAGTTCCCCAAAATCCCTTGCAACAGATTAGACGAAGTGCTCACGCGCGCGTCGTCGCGCGCGTATGCCGAATCCATTCAAAAACCGTTGTTTTCGGAAAGGTTTCAAAATGGAGTGTTCCAAAAAGATACAAAAACATAAGGTTTCGCAGCGCGGAGTTTCCCAAAAAGCTTGCGCGCGCGCTCTTGCGAATTCTTCAGAAAACCATGCGTTCCCACTATTTGCAGCAAGTGCTACCAAACGGGCTTCGCGCGCGCATGCCAAAATCGTTCGAACGCCCTTGCGCGCGTGCCGTTGCGAGAATTCTCTGCAACAGATGTAACGAAGTGCGCGCGCGCACGTCATCGCGCGCGCATGCCGCCATCATTCAAAAACCTCCGGTTTCGGAAAACTTCAAAAACGAGTGTTCAAAAAAACATATAAAAACACGAAGTTTCGCAACACTGATGTTCAATAAACGCGTGCGCGCGCTGTTGCGTCGTCGTCGTCGCTGTCCTCCCTCCTCCCGCGTCGTCGTCGTCGACGTCGCCGTCGTCCTCTGTCTTTCCTCGTGTTCGTCGTCGTCGTCGTCGTTCTCTTTGGCGTCGTCGTCGCTTCCGTCGTCGTTGTCGCCGTGGTCGTCCTTCCTCCTCCCTCGTCGTCGTCGTCGTCCGACGTCGGCGTCTTGTCGTCGTCCCTCCTATTGCGTCGCCGTCGTCGTCGTCGTTGTCTTCCCTCCACTCTCGTCGTTGTCGTCGGCGTCGACATCCTCCCTCCTTCTTCGTCGTTCGCGTCGTCACCGTCCTCCCTCCTCCCTCGTCGTTGTCGTCGTTGTCGCCGTCGTCGTCCTCCCTCCCCCCTCGTCGTCGGCGATTTCGTTGGCGACGTCGTCGTCGACGTCGTCTTCATCATCGTCGTCGTCGTCATCGGCGTCGTCGTCGCCGTCGTCAAAGCCGTCGTCGGCATCGTCATCGTCGTCGTCGTCGTCGACGGCGTCGGCGTCGTCGTCGTCGTCGGCGCAGTCGGTGTCGTCGTCGTCGTCGTCGGTGTCGTCGCCGCCGAAATTGTCGGAGTCGTCGTCGGTGTCGTCGTAGTCGTCGTCGGCGTCGTCGTCTTCGTTGTCGCTGTCGTCGTCGGCGTCAGTGTCGTTACCAAGTGCCATGTGGTACCTACTGTCACGGTCTTAAGTGGTCTTGCGACCAAGTTGCGGGTGGAGTGTGGGATGCTTGCACGAGCAGTGGAGAAAGACAGCGTCAAGACAGTCAAAGTGAATTCTCCTTTCTTTATATATATACATATCTATAAAACAACGCTCTACCCCCCCCCTGCGTTAACATACAAAAACAAAAGGTTTCGCAACACAGATTTGCTAACAAAGTTTACGCGCGAACTCTTGCGAAATCTTAAGACAACCATCGGTTTTTCAAGACTTTCACAAAGTGCTACCAAACGGGCTTCGCGCGCATGTCGAAATCTGTCGGACGCCCTTGCGCGTGTGCCGTCGCGAGAATCTCCTGCAAAAAACGGCACGAAGTGCAGACGCGCGCGTCGTCGCGCGCGTATGCCGAAATACTTCAAAACCCATCGTTTCCGGAAGGATTTCAAAATCGTGTGTCCAAAAAAACCTACAAAAACACCAGGTTTCGCAACGCAGATGTTCAACAAAAGCGTGCGCGCGCGCTCTTGCGTCGTCGTCGTCGTCGTCGCCGTCCTCCCTCCTCCCGCGTCGTCGTCGTCGTCGTCGTCGCCTACGTTGTCCTCTGTCTTTCCTCGTGTTCGTCGTCGTCCTCCTCTTTGGCGTCGTGGTCGTTTCCGTCGTCGTTGTCGCCGTGGTCGTCCTTCCTCCTCCTCCCTCGTCGTCGTCGTCGTCGTCCATCGTCGGCGTCTCGTCGTCGTCCCTCCTATTTTGTCGCCATCGTCGTCGTCGTCGTCGTTGTCGTCGTCGTCGTCTTCCCTCCTTCCTCGTCGTTGTCGTCGTCGGCGTCGCCGTCCTTCCTCCTTCTTCGTCATTCGCGTCGTCGCCGTCCTCCCTCCTCCCTCGTCGCTGTCGTCGTTGTCGCCTTCGTCGTCCTCCCTCCTCCCTCGTCGTCGTCTTCGTTGGCGACGTCGTCGTCGTCTTCGTCGTCGTCGTCGGCGTCGGCGTCGTCGTCGTCGTCGACGTCGGCGTCGTCGTCGTCGCCGTCGTCGTCGTTGTCGTCGGCGTCGTTGACGTCGTCGTCGTCGTCGTCGGCGTCGTCGTTGTCGTCGTCGGCGTCGTCGTCGTCGTCGGCGTCGTCGTCGTCGTCGGCGTCGTCGTCGTCGGTGTCGTCGTCGTCGTCGTTGTCGGCGTCGTCGAAATCGTTGGAGACGTCGTCGGTGTCGTCGTAGTCGTTGTCGTCGTCGGCGTCGTTGACGTCGTCGTCGTCGTCGGTGTCGTCGTCGTCGTCGTCGGCGTCGTCGTCGTCGTCGGTGTCATCGTCGTCGTCGTCGGCGTCGGCGTCGTCGTCGTCGTCGGTGTCGTCGTCGTCGTCGTCGTTCTCGGCGTCGCCGAAGTCGTTGGAGACGTCGTCGGTGTCGTCGTAATCGTTGTCGGCGGCGTCGTCGTCATTGTCGCTGTCGTCGGCGGCGTCGCTGTCGTTGCCAAATGCAATTTGGTACCCACCGTCACGGTCTTAAGAGAGTTTGCAAACCAAGTTGCGGGTGGGTGGGTGGGATGTTTGCGCGAGCAGTGGAGGTGGTCAAGCGCGGTTGAGGGTAGCCAATTCCCCTTTCCAAAAAAATAAATAAACTCTACCCCCCCCCGGCGTTATCAGCTCCTCTTTCGGGTATGTAAATCATCTATGATTCTGACCACATGTCCATCCTAAATATGAATTTGCACTATCCCCGGGGGGGCCGGCATCGGCCCCTGAGGTTCCCTTATAAACAACGATACGCGGGGACATGTTTTGTTATAACATAAGACTGTTTCACGAATCCCTCGCAAAACGAGGGACGAAGTGCACGCACGCGCGTCGTCGCGCGCGCATGCCGAAATCCTTCAAAAACCTTCGGTGTCGAAAGGATTTCGCAATCGAGTTCCCAAAATCTACAAAAACACATGGTTTCGCAACACTGATTTGCTGACAAAGCTTACGCGCGAGCTCTTGCGAAATCTTAAGAAAACCATCGGTTTTTCAAGACTTTCACAAAATGCTGCCAAACGGGCTTCGCGCGCGTGTCGAACGATGTCGAAATCTGTCGAACGCCCTTGCGCGTGTGTCGTCGCGAGAATCCTGCGCAAAAAATGGCACGAAGTGCAGACGCGCGCGTCGTCGCGCGCGTATGCCGAAATCCTTCAAAACCCATCGGTTTCGGAAGGATTTCAAAAATCGTGTATCTAAAAAACCTACAACACCAGAAGGTTTCGCAACACGGATTTTCAACAAAACCGTGCGCGCGCGCTCTTGCGTCGTCGTCGTCGTCGTCGCCGTCCTCCCTCCTCCCGCGTCGTCGTCGTCGCCTACGTCGTCCTCTTTGGCGCGTGGTCGTTTCCGTCGTGGTTGTCGCCGTGGTCGTCTGTCCTCCTCCTCCCTCGTCGTCGTCGTCGTCGTCAGTCGTCGGCGTCTCGTCGTCGTCCCTCCTATTTCGTCGCCGTCGTCGTCGTCGTCGTCGTTGTCGTCGTCGTCGTCGTCTTCCCTCCTCCCTCGTCGTTGTCGTCGTCGGCGTCGCCGTCCTTCCTCCTTCTTCGTCGCTCGCGTCGTCGCCGTCCTCCCTCCTCCCTCGTCGTTGAGCTGCCGCCCCAGTCCGAGGTGTTTGGGACTGCTCCAGGAGCAGCGCACCTCGCGCGGGGCGGGCAGCCATGCGTGCCGGCCGCCTCGCCTCGCCGTGCCCAGGCGAGTGGAGGGCTAGCCACGCGCACCGAGAGTCTTCCGGCTGGCGCCATGGCGACAAGCCGAGACCGGGCCTGCGCGCCGCTGTACGCAGGCTCGGCTTCGCTGCCCGGACTGGTCGCTGGCCGCTCATGAGCGACGTGGCCAGTCTCGCTCGCGTCGCTGCTCATGCCGATCGCGAGCCTCATCGTGCTGGTCGCGCTGCTGCGCCGGAGCTGGAGGCTGCGGCTGCGGGCGAGGCCCGTGCTCGTGATCGTGCTCGTGATGCTCTTGCTGAGCCATTGGCGGCTTGCAAGCTCGTGCTCGTGTGCCTTCCACCTACATCACCGAGTCCGGCGCGTTTGCTGCATCAGCCTCGTGTGCTACCGCCGCCGCCACCTGGAGAGCCTCGCCATGCGGGCGCGGGCCAGCAGGGCGATGGCCGCCTGCGGTCGGCCTCGCGCCGTCGCCGCCGCTGCCAGCCCGAGGCCGAGCCGCGTCCGCGATCGGGCTCGCGCGTGCGGCTCGCCACCGAGGAGGACGAGATCGTGCAGCAGGTGACGGCTGAGGCACAGGCCACCGCCGCTGTCGTGTCCTTGACTGCCAGGTGCCAGGCGACGGCATGCCGGAACGCGTGGCCCAGACGCCGCGCCGCCGCTGCGCGCGGTGCCGGTGAGGGTCAGCCGCGCGTCGACGAGGTGGTCGCCGAGGCCGCCGCGGATGCAGCGACGACGCCCGATGCCACAGAGGCTGTTCCTCCGGCATTCGGGATGAGCCGGCCGCCGCAGCACGCGGCCGACCGCGTGGGCGAGGCCCGCGCCGCGGCTGCTGCTGCCCTTGTGCAGCTTGCTGAGAGCCAAATGGTCGCTGGTGCCCCTGAGGCTGCACCGCCTGCGGCTGCTCTGCCTCGGCCGTCGGCGATGGAGAGGCTGCCGCGGGTGCCGCAAGCCGAGACTCTGCGAGCCGATACTGCCTCAGAGGCTGTTCCTCCTGAGGCTGCTCCGCCCACGGCTGCTCCGCCTACGGCGATGCAGAGGGTGCAGCGCGTGCAGCCTACCACGGACATCCAGGCGGCGGACGGCGCGGTCCGCCTCCTTAAGCAGCAGCTGTCCAGGGTCGAGGCCGTGCTGCACTGGAGGGAGAAGGCGGCCCCACACTCCCCGCAGGTGCAGGACTTCCAGTGGAGGGCGTGCGAGCTGCGGCGCCTGGTGGATGAGGCCGTCGGGCGGCGGGCCGCGCTGGACCCTGGAGGCCCCCCCGGCGCCGCCGCTGTGTAGGCTCGGGCCGCTGCTGCGGCCGGGGCGGCCCCGGTGCCACACAGGAGTGCTGCCGCCGATGCCCGCGAGCCGATGTGGCAACGGATCGCACCGGCGAGGTTTGCAGCCCCCATCGGGCCACCGCTGCTGCCGGCAACCGTGCCTCGACCAGAGGCCGCGTGTCCTGCGCCGCCGCCTCCAGGGAGAGCCGATGCTGTGACGCCTACCGAGACCGCCTACTGGGAGAGCCGCCGCCGCCTACTGGGAGAGCCGGCTCCTGCGAGAGCCCAGGCAGGCGGGACTGAGGCAGGCATGGCGTATAGATAATCGTGCTGCTGTGTATCTCTATGTGCGCTGCGAGGGTGCGAAGATGCCTCAGCTTGCACTGATTCCGCGTGGTAGCTTCCGTTGTGGTGCCTCCACGCGGCTTCATTTTCCTTGCCGAGCTTCATGACATGTAATACACACATGCTGTTTATGTTTGTGAGGTGAAGAAGGTTTGTCAGAGGAGGAGAGGATCGGGATGGAGGCATTTCTCGGCGCGGCCCGTGCACTCTCGCGAGCACTGCTCGATTACAGAGCCGGTGTGTTCTCGCAGAGGAGGGCCGGCGAGCGAGAGAGAAGAGGGATTAGGGTCCAGGTCTGCGTCCCAGCCTTACCCACTCCTCGTCTTCCTCATCATCCTCCCCCCTCCACCCATTCCCGTCCCGAGCGGCCGAGAGCCGGCGGAACGGCGGTCGTTCTTGAGCGATCCCAGATGCCAGCCCAGCTGCTTGATGCTTTGGGTTGTGAGGAGTGGCTGTCGGTGGGATGCACACGTTCTCTGCACGGCCCTTGCACTCTTGCGAGCATTGCTCGACTCCGGTTTCACCGCTTGTCTCGCAGAGGAGGGCTGGCGACCGAGTGAGGCGTGAGTGGAGGGCCGAGCGGCGATCGAGTGTCTGCAGCTTCGCTCCCACGCCGTGTCTTTTTCCGAGGGCTCAGGGCCGAGGTCGTCGTCCCAGCCTTACCCTCTCCTCCTCTGCATCATTATTCCTCCTCCTCCTCCCGCCCCTACTCCACAATGCCCAGGCCGTTGCAGCAAGCCCCTTTAGCGTTTGCCGGCCAAGCTGCGTATTGTTGAGGGTGGGGTTCAGGATGGATCGGGAAGGGAGTGCCGTGCGTAGGTGCGAAGATTCCTCCTGCGAGTGCCGTGCGATGGATCTTCCTCCTCGGCCGGCGGCCGCTTTGACGGCCACCTGTCTCGGCATAGAGTTTCCGCATGGTGTTCCCACTGCGGTACCGCCATGCCTCATAGATGCCAAGCTGAGTCGTTGCCATTTGCTGGCAACCTCGAGTAGGGAATGTGGTCTGCGTCCCAGCCTTCCTCCTTCCCGCTTGGCTTCGCTCTTATTGTGCGTACTTACTTCCCCCTCCCTCCCTCCGCCCCTCCGCCCGAATGCCCTGGACGGGCACAGCAAGCCACTGTCGCAGCTTTTCGCGTTTGCCGTCCAGTTGCCCAGTTGAAGGGTGGGGGATTTTGCGTGGATGGGCTGGGATCGGTTTGGGATAGAGGGAGATCGATGACGTTTCAGCGGCGCTCGCTGGCCTGATGATGATGGCTCAGCCTCGACAGCCCGAGCCCGTGCCGCGCCTTTCTAGTGGGAGGTGCTCGTCGTGTCGGTCGTAAGGAGAGGTGGGTTTGGTGTACTGGTACTGTATACTGCAATCCTTAGGTGCCCGTGCGATCTCACTATTTCAGTTGCATCGCTAGCCGCAGCGCCACCGTAACTCGACAGGCTAGTTGCCTCAACGAGCAGGAAATCCAAAAAATCCCCGTCGTTGTCGTCGTTGTCGTCGTTGTCGCCGTCGTCGTCCTCCCTCCTCCCTCGTCGTCGTCTTCGTTGGCGACGTCGTCGTCGTTTTCGTCGTCGTCGTCGGCGTCGTCGTCGTCTTCCTCGTCGTCGACGTCGCCGTCGTCGTCGTCGTCGTCGTCGTCGCCGCCGTCGTCGTCGTCGTCGGCGTCGTTGACGTCGTCGTCGTCGTCGTCGTCGTCGTCGTCGGTGTCGTCGTTGTCGTCGTCGTCGGCGTCGTCATCGTCGTCGTCGTTGTCATCGTCGTCGTCGTCGTCGTCGGCGTCGTCGTCGCCATCGTTGGTGTCGTCGTCGTCGTCGTTGTCGGCGTCGTCGAAGTCGTTGGAGACGTCGTCGGTGTCGTCGTAGTTGTTGTCGGCGGCGTCGTCGTCGTCGTTGTCGCTGTCGTCGTCGGCGTCGCTATCGTTGCGAAGTGCCATTTGGTACCCACCGTCACGGTCTTCAGAGATTTTGCAAGCCAAATTGCGGGTGGGTTGGTGGGATGTTTGCGCGAGCAATGGAGTGGACAACTTACTGCGAACAGAAATGAATTGCACCACAAAAATTGCACCACTTATATTGATATATTCTCCTTTCTAACAAAAAATAGGTTCTACCACCCTCCCCCCGGGTTTAAACATTCACCTGTTCGCATCGCAATGTACATATGGTTCTGCCCCATCGTCCATCCTAACTGTGAACTCATACTATCCCAGCCAAACCGGTATCGCCCCCCCCGCCACCCTCTGCAAAGAATACTCTGCGCGCACACTCGTGCATCAGAAATCATAAGTGGTCAAAAATCCCTTGCAGAAGCCAAGACAAAATGCGCACGCGCGCGTCGTCGCGCGCGCATGCCGAAATCATTCAAAAACCCTCGGATTCGGAAGGGTTTCAAAATCGAGCTCCCACAAAACATACAAAAACATATGGTTTCGCAACACGGATTTTCAACAAAAGCGTGCGCGCGCGCTCTTGCGTCGTCGCCGTCGTCGTCGCCTTCCCCCCTCCTCCCTCGTCGTCGTCGTCGTCGTCGCCGTCCCCGTCGTCGTCCTCTGTCTTTCCTCGTCGTCGTCGTCGTCCTCTTTGGCGTCGTCGTCGTTGCCGTCGTCGTTGTCGCCGTGGTCGCCCTTCCTCCTCCCTCGTCGTCGTCTTCGTCCGTCGTCGGCGTCTCGTCGTCGTCCGTCGTCGGCGTCTCGTCGTCCTTCCTCATATTTCCTCGCCTCGTCGTCGTCGTCGTCGTCGTCATCGTCGGCTTCCCTCCTCCCTCGTCGTCGTCGTCGTCGTCGGCGTCGCCGTCCTCCCTCCGTCTTCGTCGTTCGCCTCGTCGCCATCCTCCCTCCTCCCTCGTCGTTGTCGTCGTTGTCGCCGTCGTCGTCGTCTCTCCTCCCTCGTCGTCGTCGTCGTCTTCGTTGGCTACGTCGTCGTCGTCTTCGTCGTCGTCGTCGGCGTCATCGTCGTCGTCGGCGTCGTCGTCGTCCGCGTCGGCGTCGTCGTCGTCCGCGTCGTCGTCGGCGTCGTCGGTGTCGTCGTCGTCATCGTCGTTGCTGTCGTCGTCGTCGTCGTCGAAGTCGTCGGAGTCGTGGTCGGTGTCGTCGCTGTCGTCGGCGGCGGCGGCGTCGTCGTCGTCGTTGTCGTTGTCGCTGTCGGCGTCGGTGTTGTTGCCAAGTGCCATTTGGTACCTACCGTCACGGTCTTCAGAGGTCTTGCGACCAAGTTTGGGCTGCTTGCGCGAGCAGTGGAGAGGACAGCTTCAAGACAGTCAAAATGCATTGCACCACACACGTTGCACCACTTAAATTGCACAACCTACATGTATAGAAACATACTAACTGGGGTCCACACTGGCTACCATCCTTGTAAATGGCTCCCTGCCGCACCTTCGAGCGTGTCGGTAGGGCGGGCCAGGCGTTTCGCGTGAGACTTCCTCACCACTTGTGACCCTGAAGCTTGAACCCATACAACATCTTCACGGATGTAGGGCGGACCGTTTTCAAACTGTGGTTCTCGTTTTAGCGCTGCGCACATGCGTCCGAACAGTTTGACACCAGGTTCGCGGATGGAGGTCGGGCCGTTTTCAAAATATGGCACTCGCCTCAACGCCACGCAGATTCGTGTGGAACGTGTGCAACATCTTCGCGGATGGAGGGCGGGGGGTCATCAACATGTGGCGATCGCCTTAACGCCGCACGCATTCGCTTTGAAGGTTTGCAACAAATTCACGGATGATGGGCGGGCAATTGTCAATATGTGGTTCTCGCTTGAGCACCGCGCGCCATTGCCTTAAAACAATGCAGCCGGTTTAAGGATGGATAGCCGCTCCTTGTCAACACGTAGCGCTCGCCTTGGCGTTACGCACAATAGTCATACAACTTTACAACAGTTCCAACTCATCGTATGGTTGAATTCACCAGCATAGTTTTCTGGAGCGGATTAGGAAACTCAGGGCGCACGATCACCTTGATCCACGGCGCTGGCGTCCCAAGAATGGTGTTTTGAGTGAATTGTCATACAATTGTCGTCTAAGGGCTACCTCCCTCAACGGAAATAGCTTCTTCAAGAGACCTGCGAAGAGGGACAATGATGCGCTGTGGCTTTACAGTCGTCCTATTCCTCCTCCTCCTCGTCCTTCTCCACCTCCTCCTTCTCCTCCTCCTCCTCCTCCACCCTCCTTCCTCCTTCCACCGTCCTCCTTCTTCCTTCCTCCTCTTCCTCTCCTGCTCCTCCTCCTCCTCCTCCTCCTCTTCCCCTTCCTCTTCCTCTTCATCCTCCTCCTATTCCTCCTTCCTCCTTACTCCTTCCTTCTTCCGCCTTCCTATGTTGTCCTTCCTCGTCCCCTCCTCCCCTCCTCCTCCTCCTCTTCCTCCTCCTCCTCCTCCACATCCTCCACCTCCTCCTCCTCCTTCTCCTCCTCCTCCTCCTGCTCCTCATCCTCCTCATCGACCTCCCCCTCTTCCTTCACATCCTCCACCTCCTCCTCCTCCTCTTCCTCCTCCTTCTCATCGACCTCCTCCTCCTCCTACTCCTCGTCATTGTCATCCTCTTCGACCTCCTCCGCCTCCTCATCCACCACCTCCGCCTCCTCCTCCTCCTCTTGTTCCTCGTCCTCGCCCCCCTTCTCTGCCTCCTCTTCCTCCTCCTCCTCCTGGGCCTCCTTCCCCTCCCCGCTCGGCCGCCACGGGGGGGGGGGGGGCGGGGGGGCACGGCGAGGGGAGTGCACGGCGCGGCCGCGCGGCGCGGCGCGGACGCGCGGAGCGCGCGCCTCCGCGAGGTCTCTCCTGCGTGCGGGGTGGGGTCAGCCAGCTCCCCTCGTTGTCCCCGCCCCCGCTCGACCAGGCGAGTGTCCCCCCTCCCTTGCCCATGTGGGTAGCTACGACAAGGCGCTCGCTCGCTCGAACAAGCGACCCAGAAGGCGAGCGAGCATGGGGGAAGGGGGGAGGCGAGCGAACGAGCGAGCCAGAGGGCGAGCGCGTGCGGGGGGGAGGGGGGCGAGCGAGCGAACGAACGAGCAAGCGAGCGAACCAGCCAGTCAACCTTTCGCTCGCTCTTTCAATCGGCCGAGCGAGCGAGCGAGAAGGCGAGCGAGCTTTGGGGGGGGGCCAGCGAGCGAGCGAGCGAACGAGTCGGCCTCTCGCTCGCTCACTCTGTCGAGCCAGCGAGCGAGCGAGCGGGCGATCGAGGAGACGAGCGAGCATGGGATGGGGGGGGCGCGAGCGACCGAGCGAGAGCGCGAAAGAACATGGGGGTAGGGATGTGTGTGGGGGGGGTAGAGGGGGCAGCGAGCGAGCAAGCTTGCGAGCGAGCGGAGGGGCGAGCCAGCATGGGGGGAGCGAGCGAGCGAGCGAGTCGGCCCTTCGCTCGCTCGCTTCCTCAAGCGAGCGAGCGGGCAGGGGCAGAAGGGGATCCTCTTGCTCGTTGGATCGCTTGCTAAAGTGAGCGAGCGAGGAAAGGCGGGAGTCTTTTACAAGAAAAGACGTTCCTCCCAGATCCGCAAGAAAGACTCTGTACGAAGGGCTCCTGCATAACGAAACATTACTAAATGTTAAGTCATACCCGTAGCGTGCTAAATCTTCTCGAGCCCAGGTAATCGATATTACGGAATCCTTACGAAGGATTCCATGCTCAAAATATCATATTAAGTTTTCCGAACCAAAGATGGATTGGCCAATCCTGGGTAGGGGTCCTGCGCAAAATCCAGCTGCGCCACAAACCTCCCGCAACCGCAAGTGCCCGCAGCCCTCTGACAAGGCGGCAGCACCCAGCGCGCCGCGCAGCCTGGCGGGGACAGACCGCGCCGACGCGCGGGGCGCCAGGGATGCAATCACACCGAGGGCGGGAGGGCGGGGCAAAAGCAAATGCGCCTGACATGGCGGCAAACGCCAGCGAGACCTACGACGCGCGCGCGCTGAGCTGCACAGCGATCTGCACCGCCAGCGCGATTCCCGCGGCGCGCCTGCACGGGGCCGCGGTCGCGCAAGCCGCCAGACATGAAAAGGGCAGTCAAACGCGCGGGGCGGCGCGCCGAGAAATGAGCGCGCGCGCGCGCGCGCCCTTCTCGCGGGGCGACGCGCGTCGGATGCGCGAAAACGGGAGGCGGCCCGCGGGCCTGTCTTGGCCGCCCGCGCGCGGGCCTGGCGCGGGCGCGTACGGGCGCGGAATGTGCGCCCGCGCGCGCGGCCGCACTTGGGTGCGGCTGCTATTGCTCTCGGCCGAATTGGCGCGCCTACCCCGGATTCCAGCTGCGCCGCAAACCCCCGCACCCGCAGGTGCCCGCAGCCCTGCGACGCGGGGCGCGGCACCCAGCGCGCCGCGCAGCCTGGCGGGGCCAGACTGCGCCAACGCGGGGGGCGTCAAAGATGCAAGCGCCCCTAGCCGATGCACGCTGGTGCGACGCGCGGCGGCGACGCTCGCGGAGCGCGCGCCCCTCGCGACGCCGGGCCGCTGCGAGCCGCAACTTGCGAGCTTCCCCCGGCGCGCGTGAGGGCTCGCGACTGCGTGGATTAGGCGCGGAATGCGAAAGCCTGCTCGCGCGTCGCAAGCCCAATGGCCCCGCGCATGCAGCGCTTCTTGCCGCCGTCCAACCTGGCTCCCTGGAGCCTGACATCTCTGAAGCGGCATTGGCAAATTCGGATGGGCGCGGAGCGCTCTCGGCAATGAACGGCGCCGCTACTGCCTCGAACCACGCGGCGCCGCGCCCCCACGAGCCTCCGGTCCCAGCCCAGGAAGCGCTCGAGGTTTCGGCGCGCCCCGCCGCTGCCGCGCGAGCGCGACGCGCGCCGAGCAGACTCACCGTCGCTGAACATGGCGGCGCGCGCGCGATGCAACCGCGCGGAGCCCGGTCTGGGAGCCGCGCCGCAAAGCACGAAGCGATATTGACGGCAAGCGGCGCGCGAGCCGACCTGCCGGCAGACCGGGCAGTCGCGCCGCCGCCGACCATGGCAGCGCGCGCGATGCAACCGTGCGTATCGCGAACAAGATGATTCGACGGCAATCGACGCGCGAGCCGACCTGCCAGCTGAAGCATGCTTGCGCGAGACGCAAAAGAGCGCGCACCGCCGACAGACGCCCAGGCGGCAGGCCCCCATGACAAATCACCCAGGCGGGCTGAACATAGGTGGCGCTGATCGCAAGGAGAATCCAGCGCTGTTCTCGCGATGGCAAATCAGACGCCTCCAGCGCCGAGGGCGCGCGAGCCACGCGGAGCGCGACGCGCATGCGCGCTGCTTGCAGCCACAGCTAACGAGACACGTATATGCCCACTCTTTCGAAATACCTTCCCGCGCGGCAGCCCCGGCCCCCACGCTGCCCGACCAGAGCCGCGCGCGCCCGCCTTCGAGCGCATCGCTGCACATGGACAAACCAAACGCGATGGCCAGCAGCTCACATGACAAAATGCACGCGTCGCCCCTCTGCTTAAAAATTGCGCGGCACGCGCTCGGGCGGGCCCCAGTCGGGGTGCAGGGCCTGCTCGTCGAGGGAGAGCGCTGCCGCGGCGCGCGGCGGCGAGCTTCGCGTGCCCGCAGAAAACTGGGCCGACCTGCGCTGGCCCTGCGCCCAAGCGCGGGCGTCGCAGAGCTCCAGAAATAAGACCTCGGCCCGCCAGCCCACCATTGAAGCGCGACTCGCAGCGGATGCGTCGAAGGCGCGCCGCCCTTTTCCGAGCGGGCAGACAAGGGCCAGAAGAGTGCGCGCCCGATGCGATGGGGCATGCCCGAGCAGGCCCGCGTCAGGGCGACCGCCAATTTCGACGCGCACCCTGGCCTCAGCTCGCCCGCGGAAAGCGCGTCGCCGATGCGACCGCGCCGCGCCTGAACTTTGTCGGGCGACGGCGCGCGCGAGAAGCCATCGCAGTCCGCGCGAACCTGAAGGCCAAGGACTATGAGCGGCACGCGCGCGGCGACCTCATTCCAAGCAACGGCAGAACGCCCGGGAATGCCACGCGCGAGACGCACAACGCACGGGAGCGCGCGCTCGACGAAGGCCGCTCGCTCGGCGCCGAAGAGGCCGTCGACGACATAAGCAACGGGATGAACAGAGAGGCGGCGCGCGAGGCGCGAGATGAGCGCGCCGACTCTGCCCCGCACGCGCGCAGACGCGACGGCGCCGAGGGGCGCGGCCAGATGTTCTGCCACGCGGGCCACGTCATGCACGCGGAAGACAAGGTAAGGACAACGACGACGCATCGGCATGGCAGGCAGCCCCTGGGAAGCCGAGCCGATGGCAGCCTTGAAAAACGAGACGCGTTCGCGGGTGGCCTGCGCCGCGGCGCTCGCCGCGCGATGCAATCTCTTTCGGCAGTGAGTTGGGAGGAACGCCGCGCGTTCATCCAATCGACAACGGCCCAGACGTCGCCGCTGACATCAACTGCGGGTTCGAAATCGACATGCCCGTTGCGTGCGTCATCGACCAACTGCAAGTTTCCCCCGTCGCCCGCGCGGCGCCAACGGGGTGCGCGATCGGCCCCGCTAACTTCAGCCTGCGAAAATGCGCGAACGAGACCTCGGCGCGGAACGCGAAAGGCGTGCGCACCTGCGCCGAGACCGCACAACGCGACCGCGGGCGGCGCCGCGCAAGAGGGGCCAGTGGACACGGCAAGGGCGCCCCTCTTGCCCAAGCCGACGATGGCGACGCAGGCACGCGGCCCGACGGCGGCGCAGGCGGCGGCGACAAACGCCCGACCATCACGAGAAGACAAAACTCGCAGACGTCGCGAGCCGAGGGCGCGCGGCAACTCGACTTCCCCGGCCCTGAGCGAACGCGCGCAAAGCGAACGCGCGCAAAGCGAACGGCGAGGGCACGGCGAACGACTCGCAATGCAGCAGCAAATCAGCGTCTGGGCCGAGCCCAGGCCCGACGCGAGACGACGCGGCGCGCGAACCGACCTGCCGGCGGATCGGCGAATCGGCGGAAGGCGAGCGCGGGCGCGACGGAGCGCGCGAATATCGCGCCTTCTTCAAGGCTCGCGCGCCTCGTCACTCCACTCTCGGTAGCCCCGCCACCGGGCCGCTGGCGGCTTGTGCCCCTTTCCCTTGGGGGCGCCCTTGCAGGGCCCGCGGACCCAACTCTTCGCGGTCACGCCTTTGCCGCCTTCGGGGGCGCCCTTGGGGCCATCTCTGGTGTCGGCGTCTATCGGGGCCGACCCGGCCGCGGTCTCGTCGGCGTCGCGCGCTTCTGCGGCGCGACCCAGGATGGCATAATCCACGCGCTGCGCAGCGCGCTTCACCTGCGCGCGACCGACGGAACCAGCGCGCCTCGAAAGCTCGCGCACATGAAAAAGCGCGCGCGCCTCAGAGGACGAATCGCCAAGGCGCGAACATTCCGCCCAGTCCTCGCGGGCCTGCTCGTCGTCACAGACAGCCAACTGCACCCGCCGCTCGAGGTGGGCATCCCCGAGGCCCGCCGTTACACGGACGACGCGACGGGCAGCGGCTGCGGCGTTGCTCGGCTGGCCAGCGGCGCGGGCACCGATCGCGCAGCGACTCCGCGCGAGACGCCACTGGCTGAGCGCGGGCGGGACGCGCCAGGGCGTCGGCTTCGCTCCCGCGGCCTCACGCGACGAGAAACGCGCGGCGCTTGCGCGCGCGAGCGGGGGGAAAGCCGCGCCGCTGCGCCTTTGCCGAGTTTCTGAAGCCCACAGAAAGCATCGCCTCGTCTTCGTCGCCGTCGCGAAGCGCCCCGGCGAGGTGCCGCGGCAACCACTTGGCCAGCACCGCGTAGACGAAGCATTTCACGATCCCGCGTTTCCGAAGCGAGACCGCTTCACTGGCAAGCTCACCATCGAGGTCGCAGCGGCGCGCGCGCGTCGCCGCGACAAGCAGGGCGGCGGCGCTCGGGCGAGAGGCCGCGGGGCAAACCTTCGACTTTCAAGCTCCTGAGCGAGGCCCAGATGTCTGCGCGGACAGCTAGGGCGCCAGCGACGCGACGCGCGACGCTTCGCGGCGGCGGGCGCGCGTTTGCGCGTCGGAAAACCTTGCCTCTCTTCTGGGGAAGCGCGAGGACGGCGGCGCCGCTGCCCCCTCCGGCCGACACCGCAGCCGCCGACTGCCCCTCGCACGCCGAATCGCCCTGCGCGCGAGCGGGCGCGCGCGCGACTCGCGCTGCGCGGACGCGCCGACCTTCTTGCGCGCGGTGAGCTTGATGACCGCGCGGACGCTGGATCCAGGTCGGCATCCTGGCGACCGAGTCGAAGCATGCGCCTCCCCGCGCGCCCGCCCCCTCGATGCGCGCGGGAAAAGCGAGAGGGGTATAAGGGTGAACTCCGGCCCGCGCGAAGCGGCGCGTTGCGGGGCCGCGCGCAACTCAGCCTTCAACCGCCGCTGCGCCGAACGCTGACGGAGCACGGAACGACGACGTGGCAAGGAAACGGGAAAGGCCTCGCCGCGATGCGCAATGTTCGGCGCATTGGCCCATAGTTGGCCCATGGCTGGCCGCTCGGGCCGACGGGCCGACATTCCCCGAGATACAACATTCCGCATTGGCCAACAACGCTGGAGGAAACGACAGGGCCCAGAATCGGCAAGCGCCCATGGGCCGAAAGAGCCCGCGCACAGGCGGGGGCCGCACTGCTGGTCCCACACGGCCACTGGGGGGCAGCAGGCGCCAGCAAGAAAACAAACAGTCCGCGCTGGCTCGCGCGTGCGGCGGGGGGCAGACTGGGCCCCAAAGACGCCGAAATGCGCGCGGCTGGCCCGACGGACGCGCGCCAACGAGCCCCGCTTGGCCGATCGAGGCCGGCGGGCGATACGCGCCCGCGACATGACAATCCGCATTGACCCGCGCCCGCGGCTGGAGCCGACTGGGCCCCGGCCGTCGCGCGCCGGGGCCGAAGAGGCCAGCGCGCCTGCGAGGGCCGCACTGGCCCCGAGTGGCCGCGCGGGGCCGACGGACAGTGTGCGCCCGCGAAGCAACCAGCCGCGTTCAGCTGCACCTGCGGCTGAAGCCGACTGGGCCCCAGCCGTCGTGCGCCGGGGCCGACATGCGCCCGCGCGCCTGCGAGGGCTGCATTGGCCCCGCGTGGCCGCGCGGGGCCGACGCATAATATGCGGACGCAATAAACAATCCGGATTGGCCTGCGCCGGCGGCGAAGGCCGACTTGGCCCTGCGGCCGCCGAACTGGGCGCGAATGGCCCGACGGGCAGACGGCGCCCGTGCACCCGCGGGCAGGAAGAGCCCGCGCTCGAAGGCAGAGGAGGCCGCGCCTGGCCCCCAGGGGCGAAGGGCCGAGGAGCGCCCGCGAGGAGGCGAACCGAAACGCGCAGAGCGAGCTCGCGCGAAAGCAAGCCGAGAGGCCGCGCGCGAGCAGAAGAGGCGCGCGGCCGAGCCCGCGGCGCAAGAAAGGTCTTCACCTCGAGCCAGCAAACCAGACGAGAGGAGCTCGTCGTGGCCGAAGAGGCACACGCCTACACCCGGTGGAGGAGAGAGCGCGGAAGGAACCTGCGCGGAGACAAAGACCGGCGCGCGCGCGAGGCGGCGATCGACAAGTCTGGCCGCCACAACACGACAGCAAGACAGCCGCGACGCCCGCGACACGACCGACGGACAGCCGCGGCACGACCAGCCAGACGGCCACGATACGTAAGCCAGCCATGACGGGACAACTGGACAGCCAGGGAAGCCCGCCAGCCGCGACGCAACAACCGGACAGCCCCAGCACAACGGCAGACCAACAAAGCAGCCGCGACAGACAGCCACGACGCGGCAGCCAGGCAACCGCGACAGACAGCCACGACACCGCAGCCAGCCAGGCACGACAAGCAGCCACGGCGCGCGCCGAGGCGGCCACGACAGACAGCCGCGACAGGCAGCCACGACGCGACAGCCACGACAGGCAGCCACGACGCGACAGCCACGACAGGCAGCCAATCCAGGCAACCACGACCCGACAGCCACACAGCCATACAACAGGCAACCGTGACAGACAGCCAGGCATGCAGCCGCGACGAGCAGTCAGACAACACGCACCAGCGACTGCGCCTGCCATGGCGGCGCATCGCAGCAACACATGCGAGGCGCGCGCGCGCGCCGTGGCGCCCCGCCAGCGCGATCGCCGCGGCGCGCCTGACCGGGGCCGCGATCACGCAAGCTGCCAGACATGAGCAGGGCGGTCAAACAAACGCGCAGGGCGGCGCGCGCGCCGCCCGTCTCGCGGGGCGGCGCGCCGAGGAACGGGCGCGCGCGCCCTTCTCGTGGGGCGGCGCGCGTCGCATGAGTGAAAGCGGGAGGTGGCCCGCGGGCCCGCCCTGCCGGCCCGCGCGCGGGCCTGAGTGGGGGGCCCTTGCAGAGAAGTCCGCAATAAAAATTCGCTGGGGGAAAAATATGGGCCAGGTTTCCGTGTCCAGGGTTCTCAAAAAAAGTTTCGTCAGTGAGGAACTCGCCGCAATCCGCCGGCCCCCTTTGGGGGCCGCCAGGCCGCAGGGTTAGGTTGCTGGCCCCTGCGCCAGTCGCAACTTCAAGTCTCCAATGTTACAATCCAAACTTCTGCTTCCCATGGCAAATTGTTGATGTCCGCGTGAAGGGGGGGGGGGGGGGGGCAAACCGACAGCACACCGCGCTGAGTGAAAGCGGGAAGTGGGGGGCCCTTAGTCCGCAATTCGCCCAGGTTTCCGTGTCCAGGGTTCTCAAAAAAAGTTTCGTCAGTGAGGAACTCGCCGCAAAGGCCGCAGGGTTAGGTTGCTGGCCCCTTCGGTCTCCAATGGCTTCCCATGGCAAATTGTTGATGTCCGCGGGGGGGGGGGGGGGGGGGGCAAACCGACAGCTCACCGCGCTCCAAACGCCCCGAACGCCCTGCCTGAATCCCCGCGGGGGGCGTGGGACACGCAAGAATACATGATATTCTCGCCCCCGAAACCACAATCCCGAATAAATTACGCAGCGCGCGCGACCCCGAAACCACGAAACCTTTTTACATCACGCAGTCTGTGCGCCCCCGAAGCAACGAACCATTGAGAATCCTCACATGCTTGCGCCACCGAAGCCATAATCCTCAGTGAATCGAACAATCTTCGCGCCACCAACCCTCGCGAATTACGCAATTCTTGCATTCACGACGCAAACTAAGCCGCATGCGCATTGCAAAAGCCAAGAGTGCTCCAAGGTCCCGGAAGATGGTTCCAAGACGGCCCAAGAGGGCACCAAGAGGCCCTAATAGCTCTCCAAGAGGCCTCCCGACAGAGCCTCAAGAGGCCACCACCGTCGATTTTACACCAGGGTTTTGAAAGAGTTTGGCTCTCTCGCACGTTCGGCGCTCCGACGCTCCAAGACGGCGCAAGCAGCTCCCATTGCCACCCCAAGACTGCCCAAGACGCCTTCAAAAGGGACCGAAGACGGCCCAAGAGGGCTCCAATATTCTGAAGCCACATGGGGCTCTTGGAACCCTGTCCTTGTCTACTTGTAGACGTCGGAGCTGACGTAGTCAACTGAATAAGCACACACGTTGAGAGCACCTCTGTTGGTCTCTTGTACACGGTCCGCGCTGCCCGCCCCAGCGCGATCAGCCTGTCTCGCAGGCTGTCTACTGACGAGAAACCCGCCCGCCCGTCCTCGCGAGCCCAAGTGGCTGTCTGACGGGAAGAGTGCTGCGCCAATATCCAGCATCCCTGATCTCCACAATTAGACATGGGGGAAACATGGCGCAGCACGGATACTGGTAGCAGGCCTCACGGCGTCTCCGGGCGCTGCGGAAGTTGGCGCACGACGCTGGCTCTCCAAGATGTTCTCGGCCTGCTCGCAATCTCCATCGGATGTCTCCTCGACGATACCCTTGCCCAGAACATTGCGCTTGCGGGCCAGGAGGAACCTTTCGTCGCGCACTATCTTCCAGCGCTGGCTCTTAAGGAAGGCGTGGAGCACGTTGAAAGCCTGCTGACTGGCCTTGGTCATCCCGCCTGCCAGCTGGGCATGGCTGTGTAGCCAGCGCACCATGGTGCCACCCTCCCCAAGGGCCCGTCGCAATGCGAGTGCTTCGATGGCTGTCCGCCTCTCGTCCAGCCCAAGACCGGCCGACTCAGACTTCACCACTCCGTCGCACAAAACCTTGCAGTCCGTAATCATGGCCGCCGGTACCTGCTGAAGGGCCGCGCTACGGTCGCGAAGGTCCATCTTACCGAACAGCAACTCGTAGAGTACGAGGCGCACCACCATCTGTTCGCCCTCGGCGTCGCTGGCCTCCTGGATATCCGCGGCAAAATTGGAACGGGCGAAACTTTTGTGCTTGCGCAATCCCCAGTCGAGCACGGTGAAGGCACAAGCGTTCTGGAAAGGCCCCTCGGCAGAGCTCGACGCTGTGGCGTGGCCAACCTGGGAACGTCCATCAGGGCGGCTCGCCCAGGCAACGTCGCACCAACTATAGACACGCAAACCAGATCGCACGTCTGGACACCCAGGTAGATCACGTCGGAATGTCTGAACACCGTCGGCCCGACTGGCCCTGACCATCTCGGCGATGCCAGTCCGATCCCGAAGAGGCGGCGGTCCCCATCAGCCATCTTGCTCTGCGCGTCCACAACCAAGGCCGACACCCACGGCGACGCGCTGACTCCCATCCAAGACAGTTCACCACAGCATGCACGTAGGAGGCTCTGATCAAACCCCGACAGCTTATCAGTCGGTCGGGCCTTCGGGGAGCGAGGGGCGTTCCCCTTGAGCTCGTCAATGTATAATTCCACCAGTGCTGGAAAAAAAAGCCCTTCGAATACGGCTCAATCGCTACGCCGCGAGGCTCCAAGATCTCAGACCCAGTGCCCATGTCCTCCAAGGCTCCCCCGGTATAGGGCTCTCCGATGCCCTTCGCAGCTGTCCTCCACGCCGAGCGCCCTCGATCGCCACGGAGAATGCACTCATCCACGCGGCGCGGAACAACCTGCAGCAGCTTCTGGGCGACCGGCCAGCGCAGGCTCCATCGCCGCAGCTCCGGGCGGTAAGCTTGAAGTCCCAGCTTCGCGAAATCTGTCTTCGCGGTCTGCCACAACTGTCGAGGGGCCTCACCAATGCCGCAACCTGGTTTCCAGACTCGTCGTTCTTCGCCAGGCACCACTCCAAAGGCGAGGGAGAGGGCGTCGTCCGCCTCGACGAACAGGTCCTGCTTGAGGTCGTTCGCCTGGAGGAGCGCACTCGTCAAGCCACCCTTCATCAGGCCCCAGCGGTTCGCCGCTGCCACAGCGAGAAGGATGTTACGAGCCAGGCGTGAGGCTGCAGGGGGTGCAGGAGGCTCCTGGCCGATGTCCTTCGTCTGGTAGCCGAATGGTAACAGGCGAGCCTTGGCTGCCCTGTCGGCCATGCGCGCCCACGCCCACCAGCATCGCATCACGTCGGCAGGGTCCGCGACCTCGCCCACAGGTACAGGGCGCGCCCCTCGGTACAGCTTCCAGTTGGCAACCCCCCTGTCCATGGCCCCGCGGAACTCAGCCTTCCCGAAAGAGCTCAGATTGTTCCAGTGGAACTCGATATTGTCCTTGCGCTGCTGGTTGGCGACGAAGCAGTCGAGCATCTGGGCTGTCAACGATCGTCTCCAGCCCTGACTATCGACCAGCACGGATATGAGGATCTCAAAATAGGCTGCCATGTTCTCGTCGATGCACTCCATCTCGAATTTCCTGAGCGACGCGTCATTGCCATGGCCTCTGGAAGCCAGCTCGGGGTTCGACTCCGTCGTGACCAGCTCCGTGGTTCGCCTCGGTGCAGGGCCCAGGTCGATCCGCTCAACGGTCCGAAGGGCTCTGACGAAGGGTCCCATCGTCGGCGTTCTCGAGCATTCGCCGGCGCCGACCTGGAGGGCCAGCGCGGTTCCCGTCGGAATCAAGGCTGGATCGCGGAGGGCCGCGATGTTCGATGGAAGAGATGCTTGAAGGTGGCGGCGGTGCTGATTATGGTGGTTCGCTTCTCAAGCTCGCTCCACTCCTGGCCCTGGCGATGGCTGTTCGCGCTGGACCCCGTCGCGCTCGGAAGGGCCCTCTTCCGCATCTTGGCCCTCGGCGGGCACTGGGGCTCGCGCCTTCAAGTTCATGGTTGGGCGGCCCTCGGCGGTCGGGCCCTCGGAGGTGCCGCGACGAGCCAGCTCCAATATGTCGGACATGGTCGCCCCGAGGTGCTCGCGGGACTGCGGCTCCACGACCGCGCGCGTAGCGTCAGCGGCAGAACGAAGTTGTTCTGGCGCACAGCGCAGGAGGGCGCCCTCGCGAGATATCCAAATAATCGAGGTCGGTCGTGAGGATCCGGCAAGGACCCTCTGCTCCTGGACGAGCACCCCCGCTGACCCGCACCGCGCGGCCATCACTGGGCCTCGGCCCTTCCGCCAGTAGAAGCACAGCTCGCCGGTCTGCCGGCGGGTCGCAGTCTGGCTGCGGGCATGCTCGACACGTCAGCGCCGGTATACTCGACTTCGAGGATGCTCTGGCGAGCGAGGAGACGTCGCTGTTCCCGTTTCTCGCCGCTGCCCTCGTCCACGACTGCGAAAGGGTTCGAGGGGGATTGAGCGCCTCTGGTCCCGAAGGCGCGCGCGAAGGGGGAATCATTTCCGACCTTGTCGAGGCCTTTTGATGGCGCGCGCGACCTGGCTGATAGCCTCGTCGACGCCGCAGTCGTGATAGTGTTTCCGAAACTCCGTGAGGGTCCTCTGAATGACTGGACGCGCCGCTCAACCTTGCCCGTCAGCCACCTCGCCCGGCGCGATGAAAAATCTTGTTTCCGCGCGAGCTGCACCGAGCCTCGATCAGCTCTGCGCGACGGCGGCCTTCCGCGTCGCGCCGCATGAGACGGGGGGCCTGGTAGCGAGCGGCCCAGGACCCCCTGATTGCTGCCACCACAGCCGCATAAGGGTTGCCAGACCGCTAAGACTTGCCACCGTGGTTGGTCACTTGATTCAGGCCCGCTCCCTCGCCCAGATTGAGGGCCATCAGACAGATCGCATCCTCCGCGAGGTCGGCACCCCGACCAATCGCAAACCAGAACCGCGAAGACCTCAGGGATCTCGAAGCCGGCCGAGGTGCAGACGGCCTTCGGGGGTGCGGAGGAGTTGCCCGCATGGCACTTGAAGGTCCGAGCCAGCTTCAGCACCTGGAGGCTCGCACCCGGGCTCTTGAGGATATTGAAAAAATGGCGCGCGCGCAGAGGTGAGCCAGGTTGCGACTGTCGACGGAGGCGGCGCTCGATATCCAGCCCCTCCTTGGCCCTGAGATGGCACTGTTTCCTTGGCGAGCTGTTTGCAATCTTCCTTGTGGAACTCGCCCACTTCGTCGGGGAGCTCACCCAGGCCCACCTCGCCAGCGCCGTCCTCGGCCCAAAATATCGAGGGCGTTGGCAGACCCGGACTGCTCGACGGCAAGCAGCGCTCCAGCTCCGGAGAGCAGCGGGTTTGAGCATGTCTTTCGCCCAGGCCGTGCACGTGGGCTCTGTATAGAATACCGCAGATGCCAAGACCTTTCTGCTTTGCTCAGAGCCGCGGACCCGGGGCCAAGTCCGCTCGAGTCTCGCCGCGACAGCTCGAAAACTCACACAGCCACCCAGCAGACTGGATTTCAGCCAACGCTAGTTCAAGAAGGGGCAGGAGGCAGGGGAGAAAACACATTAGATGGCACATTAAAGCGAAGCACATAGCAAAAACCATCACAAGAGACGGTTCAACCTCTCATTGAATATATCGAAAAGAATGGGAGTGCGTTCGCCCCAAGCGCGCGCGGTCGCGGAGACCCGAAGCGCGCGGGATGGCACCAGCAGCATGTCTTCACATCCCCGATGCCAGCCAGGTGCCAGCCGACAGGTAGACCAATTAGTTAAATGGACGCGATGTACAATGTGGGGGTCAGATCTGTCACAGCGACCACACATAGGACAGTCAGACCTGCAAGCATCCACCTGACAGCCAGAGAACCGGAAGAGCAAAAAAACCAAGCGAGGGAAGCCCAAGGAGCCAGGCGGCAGGGGCGGGAAAAGAGCCGGAAAGGAAGAGCCAAAACATACCATGCCAGCGGTGCGAACAGTACTGGACCCCCCCTGCCATATGCCGGCGCGCCCCACTGCCATCGCGCACCTCTGCAAAGCCCCGCGCCTCGCAGCAAACGAAGAACTGTGAGCCGCAGACAAGGATAAGATCGTCAGGCGGCAACGGCACGGATAATATCGATCAGCTGTGACTCATGTAAACCAGGGAATTCACACATCAAAACCTCCAACCCGTGTACGGTAAGGGGAAAAGAACACGAACCGCGCCTTACAGATGCGCGCAACCTTGCATGTGGATCACACAACATTCAGACAACAATCAAGATTGCACAACTGCGACACCTGTAAGGGATGAAGTATATCGCGCAACACCAGTCGAATCCGGAATCGCGAATCTGCTTCCCCGATTCGCCTCCGCTGCTCCACTGCCTGGATCCCGCGAGAGCGCCGGTCCAATTATTTGTCACTTGTCGCGTCCACTTCCACTGCTTCGTCCCGATAATTCAGCACGTGCGGTTGCGCCCACTCATCCATGGAGGCCAAGATGTCGTCTCTGGCCAGACGCATCTCCTGAGTGTCTACCCGGGATGAGCTTGCACCAAAATCTCTTAGCAGAGTCCGTCGCATGTCCCAAGGAATCCTGCAGACCATCTGCTTCTTTGCTCCCGCTGATCGCTTGGACATCCATTGGTGAACGAAATCCCAAGTATACCGATGCACCTGCCACTGAGACGCGCCCCGCTGAATTATCAGGACCGATCGCTTGGGCAAGTCCCGCCTCATTTTCAAAACGTGGGCCTCAGAAGCGCATGGATCGACAGCAACGCAAAATGACGACGGTGATAGGTGAGCGTCGATGTCGCGCCACTTCGCCGTAATCTTGCTACGAGCCTGCCACCACCGTAGCGCGCTGCCGCCCGCAGCACCCAGATGGGACAATGGTGAAATAAGTTTGAACTCCTCGCAACTTACACCAGCAGGCGAAGATGAGGAAGCACGATGAAGCACATTGAGGCACGATGAAGACGATGCGACACTGCCATCTTCCCACTTTGCTTCACTGTGATTGAACCTGCGGCGAAATGACTTGGGAATCTGATGACGACGATACCTCTGAAGAGCTCTGTAGCTGCTCGGAATCTCGAGATTATGTCTCACGCTCGTTCAGCTCAGAAGCCTCCTCATTGCACACTCCCCCACCCACGCGCATCCCGACTACTTCCGAGAACCTGACTGTTCTGCACTTTGAATTGATTGAACCATGTGAAGATAACGGTGCAGACACCTGCATAGGCTCCTCCCCCCCTCCCACTTATGCCCCCCTTCAAATGTGCAGCCGAAGTCGGGTGTTCCACGCTCGCGGTCACCGAGATCGGCGCTCCGATATCCCCCACCCGATGTTTAGCTTTTCGGGCTTCGGACTCAAGCTCTGCAGCACCCCGGCCAAGCTTGAAATTGCAATCTGGGGCAGAGTGCGGCTCCGTCACGGTGGCGACATCTGAAGCGGCGCAGGCAGATGCCCGGGTGGAACCGACCGCAACTTTGGAATCGACACGCGAAGCGACGCGGACGAAAGCGCAGGTAGGTTCGACGGCAACTTCTGACTCCAGATCTGTCTGGGCCCAAACATCAACAGTCTAATGCGAAGGCGCAAGGGCAATCAAACATATGTCTGCATCTGTTCGTCAAGATCCAACCTCCTGATCAAGCTTCTCCTCCCTTCCTTCACTGTCTATAGCATAGGCAAGGTAGATATGGCAAGAATGGTTTGGCACACTTTCTGATGCACCACCATCTCGCGCCGCGCAGCTCGCACCCATCAAAGCAAGGTCAACTTCCACTTGCCTGTAAGCAGCCAGCTCGATGCGCCTCATGGTGGGGAATCTGGGAATCGGGAGAACTGGGAAACTGACGCAGTTGCATCGCCATGGCACTACGCGGGGTACACCAACGCGCGAAATTGGCGCCACAACATCAATGGACCAGACCAGCGCAAGAACTAGACGTGGAAAATACACCGATGAACCATCAGACGCACACGGAGCATAACTGCAACGCTCTGAAGGGCGGGCAGAATTGGCGAAACACGGCGGGCGGAGAGAGCGATATATCTATATATATATGTATGTATATATATATATATATATATATATATGTATGTCTTGGCCCCAGGCTTCTGTCCGGGCCAGAAGCCTGGGGCCAAGACCTGGCCGCCGAAGATCTCGCGGCGCTGGCGGCTGTCGCGTCGACCGGGTCCGTCGCCGCAGCTCTCGCCGAGAGCCTGAGAGAGCTCGGCGCCGGCAGAACAGATCCTCCGCGTTTTAGACAGCATCAATCCACTCCGAGGGCATGTGAGTCCATGGGCGCACCCCGTGACCAGCTTGTCGCACGTCTGTTCTCGGATCCTGATAAGGGAGGCCAGATGAGTCCAGCACTGCGACCGACGAGGCTGCTCGAGGTCCACTTCGGACCCATTGCACTAAGAGGCCGATGGAGGGATGGTCTCGCAACCGGCCGGGGCGCGACGAGTCTGCTTGACCTTCCTTCGAAGTCGGTTGACAGCCTGGCAGTTTGACTGGTTCCAGCTCTGCAGCTGGCAGTCGGCGGCGCGCGGCGGACTCGCGACGACGTGTCGGGGCCGATAGAGCCGCGTCCAGTGGACAAGTCGTCGCACCCCTCTCTTCGCGCTGAGATCGCAGCCGTCGCGGACACCAGCTCCGATGGCCCGTCCGCCCATGTCGACTACGGCCAGAGAGACGAGAGGCAGGCGGGGCGCAGACCTCGAGGGTCGAGGACGTCGCAGCGGCCGTGCTGAACGAGGTAGTTAAGGTTGTCGCCGACCTCCTTCTGGAGCTCCTTGAGATGCCTCTCGGTCGCATTCATGAAAGTCTCGAGGTCGCCCGTCGTTGGCACGTTCCTCGGCCGCGTCTGGCCGGTCTCGGCCGGCTCCGAGTAGCCCGGCATCTCGGAAGGTTCGGCTATCAGGTCCGCGATCCGTCTGCTGTCGCTCGAGATGGAGACGGCAAGCAGCCACGTAACGCTTCCCTGTCTCGCGCAGGCCACTGAGCGCTCGCTTGCCGAGGGGGCCGTTGGGAGTCATGAGTCCGCCGACGACGCTTGCCGCGAGCTTCGTGGGATCGAGGCGCCGGCACCGGGCAGTAGTCGCGAACAACATTTAGCTTCCGAGTCCAGCCGTCAGCCCCCTCGAA